TTTTGTGGCCCGACGTCCGCCAGTCTGCCAACCAAACAACAGTATCTATTCTGCAGTTCACTAAGTTAAGCGCTTTTAGGTCTTTTCGATAGCGCAACTCGGTATAATGGGTTGGCAGATGGCGGCTATCAAGTATGAGAAAGATCGGGCCGCAAACACTCTCCTTCCTAACTATAACACCTACGGAAAGTACGACATTCCGTCCTACTACGAGTCCTACTGGCAAAGCCCCGAGGAGCGTTACTATACAGGTACAGAGTGAATCCCATTCAGGTTTCACTGGTTTTTTATTGAAAGATCGATGCGCTCGCATGCATCATATGTCTTCCCTCCTAGCCTGGGTCTCATGTACCATCCAAAGAGATTCTAAACCCTCCATAGGTGTTGCTGTTTCACGCAATCAAATTCCGGTATTGATTCATGGCATCAAAGGCTCAGAAATCATTGCGAGGGTGGGGCTGATTCATGTGTCGTTGAGTCATCGCTGGTGTGGGTATTTGCTTGGGGCGCCGTCTTACATAACACCAGCGGACAAATATTGCGGGCCAGGTTCGAAGGATGGTTAGCCCCGAAACCAAGGCTGGGAGACAATCCTTGAAAATCTTTCAATGGCGCAGCATCGTTCAGTTTGTTTCAGGTCTCTTCGTCATCCAGATTCTATGTCTCATTGCGGCGTTTTTCCTATTGTTCGCATCTGTGGCACTCATCTACGGAGTCCATACGGTAATCCTTCGTTACGATCTTGTTTGCTAGACGAATAATTAGTTTGCCTATCTATTCATTGGTAACCATAACTATATCCAAGATGTCTCGATAACGGGTTCCCATAACTTGGAATTTTAATGGCTATAGCATTAGAGAGTGAAAGGAATAGCTATGAACAATAAATTCGGGATGCGCAACACAGTCAACGCCCACGTGAAGTCATGGACCTATTTAACACATTGCGGCGGTAACGAGTCCAACCCAGGCCATTCCTTTTCCTTGCGACTTATCCCGTGAGTCTTTGTACTCATTCTATAGCCCATTCATTAGGCCGATGTCATAGTTTGCGAATCGAGCGAATCGCTCGATCCGAGCGTTGCGCCAGCGAATCGAACGTTGCACCAGCGAATCGAACTTTGCACCAGCGAATCGAACGATGCACCAGCGAGTCGAACTATGTACCAGCGAGTCGAACTAGGTACCAGCGACTCAATAGTGGCGGGACCCAACGTTCAAAGGAAGCCCGCCACTTTCAAACAGTGTCACGTGACAGTGGACCCTTTTTGAAAGTGGCGGACTGTTTGAAGTGGCGGGCTTCCTTTGAACGTTGGGTCCCGCCACTATTGAGTCGCTGGTACCTAGTTCGACTCGCTGGTACATCGTTCGACTCGCTGGCGCAAAGTTCGATTCGCTGGTGCAACGTTCGATTCGCTGGCGCAACGCTCGAGCGAGATTCGAACTATGACATCGGCCTCAGCATACTTGAACACCACATGGCTCACTGAGAGTGGCCAGAGGTATTATTTTAGTTCGGCAGAGGTTTTCCAGACCTTACGGATATGTCTGTTCAGTTTATTCCTCGTTTCTTTTTATTAACGTGAACATGTGTGATAAAAAGGAATAATAGAAGCGAATACAAACTATTCGTGTGCGAAGAAGTGTTAATAGGCGTGTTTAGTCTGGTGCAGTAAACTTTATATCACCTTATAAACCTATAGCAATAATGGTTCAAGGTAGTAAGGCCTTTAGTTTAGCTGCGCCGGGTTTGCGTTCCACACTCAGCGGGAAGCTCGTACGAATTACTACCACTGCACATGGTAAGTGGCTCGTGCAGCTTACCATTTAGATAAATTTGACGGAAAGTTGCTTTTTTCCAGCCCTTACATGAAAGTGTTATCCGCTAACATTAGAGATGGTGTACAAGGTTTCACACATGAAAATTCGATTTCTGAAAAGAACAAGCGTTTGAAAACCACAACTTTGTGACCGGTTTGGACGGATGGGTGGATCCTAAGGCGGCCATGTACCATTGAAAGAAAGACGCTGTGGAGCAGCCACTTTCATATAAGCGGAGTATTGAAAGAATCAGAATTGCGTTCAAATACGGAGAATAGAGACAAAACGATCGGAGTAGGATGTATTGAGCGAGAGAGAAGTGTAATTCCAATTAGTGAGAAGGCTAAAAGAGTTCCTACTAACGACACTACGAAAAACAGGTGTAAGCTTTCCCGTCGCCAACGTTTGTAACAGATATACGGTGGTAATTTGAACGCGTAACAGTAGTTTTTTTTTCGTTCTTCACATCCCTTACGTAGAGTATGGCTCCAAGCTATGTAGGAGTGCTGTTTCATGGAAGATTCCTTTGATGCTGCTATCCCCGCTTCAACTCTTCTCAATTAATTTTTTCCTAATCCTTTTGTTCCAGTGGTCGCGGCACCTGATTTGGCCATGGTTCATCTGTATCGTCTCGTCGATCCTCACCTCCTTGGCCTACTGTATCATGTGGTGGGCAGGGGATGCGCGGGACTACTGGATGGCTCTTACTATTCTTGAAATTATCGGCGTGCTTCATCAACGGAGGATCCATCCATCTTGCGTCCAAATTCCCAAGTCACTAATTCCCCAACTTGAGCAGTTTCAGGGTATTGCGTAGTTGTGGTATACATGTTTATGCAACGATTAGCGGCCACGACCGACGAGTACGAGGGTAAGAAGCCTCAAGTGAGGTATAAGGTCAACCGAAACGGATACACCAGAAAGCCGCTCGACGATTACCGCAGTAAGTTATCGATTGAATTGATTTAATGAAATTTGTAGCACTATAGCACTGCTCTTCCATTTACCGCAAATTGTGAGTTTATCAACCTGATCCAGCGGAGGATGCGGAGGAGAATAACTGAACGAATTCCTACCCGTCCCAAACAACCCGTGAGCTAACTTTCATAACAAACAATTCTTCTTCGTCCTTTTTGTCGCTTCCTCTGTGAACACAATTCTCAGTCCTTGTTACTAATAAATTTGCCCTCGCTTTTCCTAACATCCTTCTAAGAAGTCCTGCCTTCTCGTCTGCGTCGTAGTGTCCCAAATATTGCAACACATCCAAAAGTTGCACTCCTATCCACCTAATCCCATCAGTCCGTCTTTATGTCACCCATGACTTAGGTTGTTACGTTCCTTCGACAAAATATCATACCAGTGATTTCAGCCATGTATCAGAATTATCCGCCCTATTCACCGTCAGGGATGCCTCAGACTCCTTTTACCGATGCCTCATCACCATTATCCACCAGTTCCACCATGTCCAGTGGATGATCACGAGGTGAGTGTATTAGTGCCATCAAATGTTGTGGGTGGGAGGATGTGAATCGATAGGACAGAAGCGATTTTCTTGCGGCGCGAAGCTCTTTTCGCTGTAGGAACCCAGGTCCACTAATGACAGGGGTGGGTTGGGGCTCCCGCAGCGAAAAAGCTCCACGCTGCGAAAAGCGGAAAAGTCGCGTTCTGTCCTAGCGAATCAACCCTGGGTTGGAAAAGGTGATGTAATGAGGGTGCCCGACAGGAGGCCGTCCTGCGGCAAGAAGGTGCAGCGCGTACTGTAGTTATTTTGCGTCAATGTAAATAAATGTACCATTGTGGGTCGCATCGCATCAAATCACAGAGCACGCGCTGCGAAACGTCTGGTGATTCTGCCTTCCTACCGTACGACGGGCCTCCTGTCGGGTACCTGATGTAATGACATCTGTTCTTCTCACCCACCCTATCTTACCGATTTCTAAAGTTTTTTTTTCGGGCTGTTGTTGAACTTCCAGCGAACTAAGGAGGTAGGTGGGACTGAGTTGGGAGTAGTTGGCTTTTCTCAATTTCCAACCAAAGTAAAAGATAGCTGATATTCGTTAGCGTTTATCTACTCTTGTTCGGCGATCAACTGTTATGATTGAGTTCGATACCTTTTTAATTGCTAAACTTAGCAAACAAATGCGGTAAGTTAAGCGCGAGGGTCAACAATCGAGGGCAGAGTCTAAGGTAAACAGTCACCTCAACGAACAGTTAAATTTGGCCCTTCAGTTGAAAGCTCACGTGACAGGGCGCGCAATCGAAGTTACACAACTGTCTTTTCGGACAATTCGAACGGCTGGGTCGCATTTGTGATTTTTAGGGAGGGGGGAGGAGGAGAGTGGGTCGTTTTTGTGGATGACCAAGGTCAAAGGCAGAGTTTGCGATCAAGAGACAGTAGGCAAGGTAGAGGTGGTCAGCGATGGAAGGATGAAGGAAAAACCAGAAAAACGGCTTGAAAGCTCAAGAAGGAACCCCCTTTGGCCGTGATTTGCTCGTCAGGGCTGTGTCTTCGATACTGCCCTCCTCAATGTTAGCGCTCTCTCTGCTGAAAGCGGCTAGAATCAGACGGTGAGGGGTGGGCGTGCAGGGGGGTATGGTCCTGCTAGAACACTGACCATACCCATTGCTGCAAAACTAGTATCGTCCCACACCTCAGTGTGTCCACCGTTTCACCATATTATTTCCCCTTCTTCGACATCCGACTTAATCGTGAATCCTCCTTCAATTATCTCGGAAAAGCTAACGGGAATGCTGTTGGTAGAAGTCGAAGGGGTCGTGAATCTAGGAGACGGGGTCATCTTCGATCTTCGAAATTGTGAAAAAAAGAAAGTACCCATGACGGGTACTTTCTGTTTTTCACAATTTAGCGAAAGTATCGCAAACTACGTCGGAAGCGCGAAATCAGGGTATACGCCGTTTCTTTGGTCGCATTTTACCCTTCGCCTCAGTTTGCACCGCCAACGTAGTTCGACACCGACCGAACTCCCTCCTCCTTCCTCAAGTGGATTCATTTCTGTCTGACTCTGAAAGCATCATGTTGATTTATCAGTTATCAGCCACATTTTCCATCTGCTGCCACTCGCTAGACGGCAAGTTTTTGGTAAGAGAGAAATGTGAGCAATGTTAAGGTGGAGCTTGCGTCCGCTGGTGTATTCGCTTCTTGGCTTGCGCCCTTCTTTTCTTACTATGTTAAGCGTCTCTCCAGATCTTTTTGAATCGACATTCTGACTGCTATCTTTAGCTGAATTTGACCTTCTTAATATCTTTAGTTCTGAACTTACCACTTAGTCACCTAGTTGTAATCAACATCAAGCGGTGGAGTGAAGGAAGTGGTGCACCTGGGTGATCACTTATGTTCTATGTGGGGAAGATCCGTAGTGGCTTCATCAGCTTTTCCAGAGGAATTTTCTGCTTGTTCCAACATGTAGTAGCTGAGGGGGGGATTAGCTCTTTTCGACCACATCAATCTTAATTCTCTAGGGAGAGGAAGCTCAGCGATGAAAGCAGCAATAGTTTGTGCAAAAAGAAAATAAGATTTGTATTACTTCACCTGAGCGTTTAGACGATATATGCACAGTTTTTAAGGGCCTTGGGTGCTGTGCACTAAAATCGTCCGCCTTCCTAAAGGAATATAGCCCTACTTTTAACATGCAGTGAAATTGTAATAAATTCAAGTTGATAAGAACAGTGAGGGACAACATCAAAAAACAAGTGGTAACCAAAGGAACGCGACGCCTATAGGAGGGGGGGGGGGGTTTTTCTCCTATAACGCCCATCATCAACCTCTTCGTCGCATAGGGTCTTATCGTTGATACAGAAATTTATCGGCAAAACATTCCCAAGTATCCTCATGAGCAGAAGCCTTCATGCCCTCACCGTCTTCAGAATATGACGTCATCTGTCATCACCGTCGAGCTCAAGGAGGCCTACCATAATCGCTCCATTCTGAAGCTGCTACATAATTTCTTCAATCGGATAACTGGTGAATACTTCTAGAGACACTAGCTCTGACTGTGCAAGATGGCTTTTGACCAGCGTTTCAGATAAGGTCGTAATGGTCTACGATCTGTCGAAAACCTCGTGTAGCTTGAATCGCGCACCATGTCCTCATGAGAAAACTTTCTGATGTCGCCGAGTAGAAGGCTGTGTAGTTTTTTCTTTCTCGCTAGCTTGGGAAGTGCTTTTCACACTCTGAGACCATTCGATTTGAATCCAGCAAAGTGTAATTAATTCGTTTTTAAATGTGGCTGTGAGTGGTTCTTTTTTTGCCCCCCTCCCCTGTATATGCGCTCCGCTCATACACTTTCCGCTTGGTATGAAATGTTCTGGCCGACCTCGTTATTTCTGGTTTTAGAGTAGACCACATGATTTCTATTCGGGCAAGTCCTTTTTGGGTCCACACTTCTCATCCAAATTGTCTTTGTTGACCCCATGAGGGCAATTACTCATCGTCGTCCTTTCCTTATGCTAGCGGTTGTTTCTCAAGAATGCTGGGTTGTGAACAACGTCCTAGGGGGATAAAAAACAATTGGTTGGGCAAACAAAACTATCAGTTGTGACAGTGGAATTAACTATCTGGATCTCTTAGTTCGTCAATGTTTGAAATTTCAGCGCGTGAGGTATGATCGAGAGCCGAAGGCCCGTTTCCCTGAAAAAGAAGAGGATCCAGTGGCACATTGGGTGAAGGACCAACAGAAAATAGGTGCGCCTCGCCTATTTTTCCATTCCAGCAATTTCTTCTCAGTTCATCTCCAGTGCCCTATTCTATAACAAAAAATGCTCATATAATTTCTATTTTAGCGTTGCTTTCTGAGAGAGGAGAAGCAATAAGTGAGCCGGTATCCATAAGTAGGCCAGTGCGACAGGATTTTCCTCTTCAGGTGAGTTAATTTTGGCTCCGCCACGGTTCTCGCAAAGCTCATCACAGTTTTTAGCACTCTCGTTCCGTCCCTTCTCTCTACGATGGCACATTGGTTTCCCATCGAAGTTGCCGCCACGGAAAGCACAGGTGGCCTAGCATTCCGTCTCTCTTTTGATCGACCACTCTCAATGGGGGAAGAGACACTCAATTCTTCCCCTCTTTGTTTTCCTTCCTCCTGATATGAAAGCGTACAGGTTGGAGGAGAGAACCTTTCATTACAAAAAACAGTCCTCGTTTAGGAGCTCATCCAAACGACGATCGAGAAGCCGTCACGCCAACAACTCCTCCGAATCCGAGTCTCCAGGTTTGTGTAACCATCGCGGTGGTGAATTAAGTCAGGGCATACGAAATATTTCCAGAATCAACCCACGGTCATAAGAGGCGACGACGGAGTCGAACCCGATGCTCCGAGTCCGAGTTCACCGAGACAACCGACCGATGGGATAGAGCCGAAAAAGTCAGAAGAAGCAAACGGTAGTGTCATATGTTATTCTGCCATTGGTGTAAATACATACATTTGTATGAAATTCCGCGTGAAACTGATCGTACTGGAATCATCCATTACTGGAAAATTCTCATTTCATATTATACCAATTTCACAACTGCGTCTTTCCGGCTACGATAAACCTAACTATCCGTCGCATTTTGTATCGCTCCGAAAACGGATCGTAGCTACGGAAAATTCCCTTTCAAGCGATACAAAAGGCCTCCAAAAAATTTTAAAGTGCTCTATGGCTCAAGCAATCCTTCACTCCCAGCACGCTACCACTGCTCTTGTCAGTGCTGCCCCGCGCCTACAGTTGCTCCGATACTAGCGAAGCGAATTACTTTGTTACGGATACCGCGTCGAACACTAGACCTGATGATGGTGGTTGGAGGTGGGTGGGGTTATTCCTTCCTATTGGTTATAAATCCGCCAACGTTGGGTGGGGTCGGTTTGTATGGTATGTGTTGTCTGCATGTAAATGCATGTATTAAGTATGTATGTCCTTCTGTCCGGTCGCAAAATTGATGTTTGATGTGCATGAAGGAGCTTCAAGTGGTAACATCGCGCTATACATGAATGGGTGCTTCACAGGGATTTGGAGATCCTCAAAGTTTGGAGCAGGCAGGATAGTTTGGATTACACTTCCTAAGGCTTATATAATCACCTGCTGCACTAGAGGGCAGTGGAGGAAGAAAGTGGATGATGGGAAGGGAAGCGCGAAAATCTACCGTCATATCATGATTGTGTCCCTTCTACTGTATGAAACACCATTGTGTTGCATACGCGTCACTTCCAGGAGGTGTTGGTGTCACAGGAGGAAGGGACCATAGCGGAGGATAGAAAGCTTGCGCAGGAAAGGAAGGTCCCGGCGGTTGACGGGGGACTAATCTGGTAAATAAAAAGCAGATATTCATTGGAAAGGCAAAAATTCGAGATTGATGTAAAAAGTGAAGCTCTCGCGCCATAAATATGGAATGGTTTGTAACCGAAGAGCATGAAACCCGCTTGGCGCCACTACTTAGCAAGGCTGAGGCGCTGAGGCCCGTAGGCTCCACCTACCACCATGGATACGACCCGTGAACGAGTGCTACTTCGTTTCGC